GGTATAAAAAAGCAGCTGAACAAGGACATGCTCAAGCACAATATAATCTTGGTAATTGTTATTATAATGGAACTGGAGTAGAAAAGGATGAACAAAAGGCAGTTGAATGGTATAAAAAAGCAGCTGAACAAGGACATGCTCAAGCACAATATAATCTTGGTAATTGTTATTATAATGGAACTGGAATAGAAAAGGATGAACAAAAGGCAGTTGAATGGTATAAAAAAGCAGCTGAACAAGGACAGGCTCAAGCACAATATAATCTTGGTAATTGTTATTATAATGGAACTGGAGTAGAAAAAGAGGAAAAAAAGGCAGTTGAATGGTATCAAAAAGCTGCTGAACAAGGGCATGCTAGAGCTCAAAATTTTCTTAGAAAAGACAGGCACAAAACAGTTTTAATGGTATAAAAAGATAGCTGAACAAAGAGGGGGTATTGCTCACTTTATCTTGCAAATATGTTATGAAGTGGAATTGGAATAGAAAAGGATGAAACCTAATAGTATCAATGTATAATCTGGGGTTAGAAAAGAAAGTTTTTATTATTTGCGAATATATGCTTGATGTGAAAGTGAAATAAAGTAGAAGCATGTATTAGAAAACACTTGAGTTACATATGTATATGAAAGAAGGGCATCTGAAAACGATGTAGGAAAGATATATGTTTTTTTATGGAAACTAGTTAGAAAATATAATCATAATAATAAGGGAGAAGATTAAGTAGTCATTGACATATATGACAAATTGTATTGCAACTAACTGTATTAGTATGCCTGTCATTATGCCAGTAGTGAACCAATTTTGTACAGGAATTTGTAAGTAGCGGTTTGGTAAAGTGCTACCGAACGTTTAATATTAAATTATATTGTCTATATACAGATAACCACTAAAGCAAGTTTTATTTTAATAACAAATGTAGTTTTGGTATTAATCGAATTACTACAGTAAAAATGGTTGATGGCTTTATTTAGCTACCAAAGATACGAATGTTACTTCCATAATGTGTGTTATCCTTGCCGAATTCTAATTAAAAAACAATTACTACGTAATCACTCGTTATTATTTGTTTTTCCTCGTATTTATTCGATCCTACAAATAGGCGGGTTTGTGTCTATGGTAATTTTTTGCCTTTTGGGTATTATCCCACCAAGAGTTATTCCATTATTCCGTTGGAGCCTTCGACCAAATCCTATGCAGAAGGTGCAGAGCTCACAGAATTTCAGTTGCTTATATATCTAAAATGCTTACTGCGATATACTTTGTTTATATATTGACTACAATTAAATTTGACCGTATGTTTTTCAGTAGACATGCCGAATAGAATGTATATCATAATGTAACGTTTGTTCCTACTCTGGATGAGTCACAAGACATCAATCGACCGATATGTTCTCAGTATTCTCAGCATACTCGATTAGTGACTGACACTTGAAATACCCGATCCTGAGTCCAAGTCGACTGCTGAGATAAGACTTTTAAGTCTTTTAGAATATTTTAGTTACTCGGCAATAGCCGGCGCTATTCCAATTATGCGTTGTCTTGACGTTCAAATATGTTGGAAACGTTTTAATCAAATTTATCGCCACGCAGAACAAAGAGATCGTCTGCGGTTCAGTCAGATGCACAACGGTAGGTTGGAAACATGCTTGGTCGAAATGAGAACCTGTTCACAATTTTTAACGCACTAATTTCCGTGAATTTGAGTATGCAAGATGGAATAAGCACATGGACTGCTACCAGTCACGTGGCAATCAATAAAGTGATAACTCTCCGTTTGCAAAATGATGGATGTTTATTGTACTGTACATTACCAGAATCACGTCATAATTTTACAGGAATATGCTTGTCATAAAAGAAAAGGCACTGTTCACAAATAAACTCGTATCTTTACGATGACTTGATAATTAAGTTGACAACATATCTGCTCCGTCGACAATTATACTGCGTACTGCGTTACTAAACGGGATCCGTTTAGTAATACCAAGAGCTGATTTATCAATACACATATCACATGCGGGAATCAATCACAAGTATTCTGCGGGTTTCTTTCTCTTATTTAATATACCATGTCGACTTCCCAAGTACGACCGCCAACACCTCTTTCTGAATATGGACCCTCACTTACACCTCCGACTGCTGAAGAAATTAATCTACGCTACTTATCTGTAGAATCAAGTGAGAATACTGGTCCTCTGCTAGTACGCATGTCAGAGAATGCTATTGCTACTACGGAAACAGAAGAACCAGACAGCGACACCTGTGTCTCGCCATGTGACCTCATAAGTGTTTATTTGGTTCTTATTGTCAATGCTACGTTGATGTCAGCTGTAATAATAACATTGATTCAACTAATAATGGTAAGTGTACCCGAAGGTATAGTTGACAATCAGTAAATGTAATATACATTAATAGTAAGTCAATGAATGGCAAGGTTGATGCTCTAACATGACATGCTTTCATAATTTCCATTGACAGTATGCCAACCATAACAAAAGAAAACGTACGGCTCTAATTACTTGGTGTATAGTAGAGTCTATATTTCGTCTGTCGGCCGTTTATATTACAGCTAAAAAATCTTCTGTAACTTATACAGTAACCCATTGGCCAGGAATATTTCTAGGTAACAGCAATATAATGTGCTTAAAGTAACAGTCAAAAATCTGCTATATAACTTGGGTTAAAGATTGAACGGTAAAAATGAATAACTCGTATTTCATATTTATAAAACCAGGAAAAGAACATTACCTTCTCTTGGTCAATTCACTATGGCCGGATTCTGCTCCATTTGATGTGATTGTAGATCGGTGGGGCATTTGGATCGATCCCAAATTGTTTCTTCAAGGCATGTTGCATGCAGGTTTTAATTTGTGTTTTGGCATCTGGTTTTGGGTTTTTTGCGTTATCACCTGGAAAACAACACACTACAGTTCAGTAGCTGCAACCGGTCTCGTTGCATGTCTTATTAATACAGTCAGCTATCTTATCGGCATCGCATTTGCAATAGAGACGAGCCGCTTTCGTAGAAGATTTTCAGAATATAGAGCACAACGCGATTGGTGAACTCATCTAAACAGACTCGGCGTTTGAAAACTGTTCGGCGCATGCTAGTGCAGTGTGTTATGCCTACAGACTCAAGTCAAAGAAAAAAAGATAGCATGTCGATTCTAAAAGATGTTAGCTGTCTAGATTATTTCTGTTCAAATGTTAAAGATTCGGATGACGAAATGATGCAAAGTGCATGCATGTATAACAATATCAATTCATATCTAACTTAATAAAGTCGTATAAAAAACGTTTGTGATTGAAGATTTTATACATATTGTAATGCGGCTGACGTGCTATTCTTACTCGAAATGAGAAATCTATATATTAATATCAGTAAAAGTCTTTGACGTCTTGACTAATGTATGTTTCGTTTTGGGAGATATGAGGTCTAGTTTAAACGCACATATCCCTACTAGCAGAACTTTGGAATTGCGTGTTTTTTCATCTGGCTTCGGTTGATCAAGACAGTAACATGGAGGAACAGATTGCTAACTCCAGTTAGTACTGTACTAGTACATCATGAATAGGTGTTTGAATGGGTGTTTATATGGTTGTGGGCAATGTCTTTGATTAGTTACAAGGAATTTTGATCAAACAATCTATTGGTATGGATTGTCAGCAGAGAGGATAATGTTTCTGCATACTAATACTAAGAAGGCAGTTTAATTATTATGGTGCGCCGGAGGCAGCAAAAGTCTGTATTTTAATACAGTAAATCTGTATTAAAATACAGTTATTTAAAGTACAGATTCTGAAAAATGCGGGATTTCGTTTATGGTAATTACTGTAAATGATACATTAATTCCCAACAGTTTGGTATTTTTTGATAGTACAAAGGTGACCTAAATTTACATTTATGGAAAATTAAATGATAC